CATTAAAAAATATGATTTTTTGTATGTGAAAGACTTGTAATGTTAACTGAAAGACTGCCAAATTTCATGAAGATATACATACTATGTTGAGAGTTATAAGTATAAACGAGTACAAAAAGGTCACGTGATTGGTCAAATTGACCATGCCCGTATTGAGAGAGTTACGGTCTGAGTGTAGTTACACTAGTCCATCAGTCTCTTATGTACTTCTTTTATAATACTTAACCAATCTGCATGAAACTCAGTATAAACTTTATAGATAGTACTTACTTTTTGTTAGTGGTGATCAGAAAGTTTCATTTTATATCTATTTAACCAGTTTTAACTTGTTTGATATTTATCAGTATATTTGTTTTAATGCTTTATTTTGCTGATTGAAACAGCCAGTTACCTATTATAAATCATACAAACATCAGTATGACTGACAAAGATTTATCAGTAAACAATAGACAATAACCTAACCTTTGTCATACATTATAGTGAGATGTTTTGTTAAAAACGTTATTTTGATTGAAACGAGTTTATATTTAATATTTACAGCTTATTTTCAATAAAGAATTTAATGTATTTATATATACTGTTTGAATACAATTAATCTTATAGTATATTCAATAAAAAAAGGACATATGTCACTTGACTCATTTTCTGTTACAGGCTAGCTTACTGTACTTGTTAAAAATAAATATTTTTGCCTAATATCTTGTCATAGAAGAATAGTTTGGTAGTTCTCAAACAGAAATGGTACAGACATTATCTGGAACTAAAAGAAAATTATCAGAAACTATTATAAATATAAATCCATTGCTACTAATTGTTTGGGAAATACTTTAAAAACTTTTTCTTGAGACTGCTTGTTTACCGATGATCATATCTAACTTATTCAGTTTTTAAAGCATAACTAATTTTCACATGGCACTTCTTATCCTTGACTATCGAGCATTAAAGCTTAGAACCTGTCTTTTCTGATGGTTGTTATTTGAGGCTATAGCTCTTTCCAAAATTCAGTACCTTTAAAAATTCTCTTAAACTCTGTGTACAGTGTTATAAATGTGAGTTCAACCAAGATAAAACGTAAACATAAAATGAATATCAAGCAAAATGAAATTGTGTAAACTTGATATGAGAGATAAATATAAGCAGAAAGAAAAAAAGCTATGAACAATTCTTGAAGTATAAATAAAATTATATTTTTTAATTGAAATTTGAAAGTTGAGTTGTGAGCATGCACTTGAAGTGAGCTGAATACTTGTGATTCTGAAAGAATTAATCAATTGCATTTGGCTGCTTTGATCTTGTTAGTATTTTTTTACATAGACTCCTTGAGAGGATAAAAAGATGGATATCAGATGTTGTAGGACTATATGTAAGATGGGGAAGAATTGTCCATCTGAATTTCAGAATTGCAGTATGGGTCCTAATTTTCTCCTGTAACAGGAGATGAATACTCACTGTAATATTAAGTTACACAACCATGTGTTACTTGCAGTGTATTTGTGAGATAAAATGATTTCTTTTTACTTTCCTGAACACCTCTCACTCATTCACACTGATAGGTTTTTATTTTTAAACTTTGTTATTCCCAACACAATTAATAACAAACAGTAGCTGATTGTGCAAAACCTCAACATGATATTACAGTCTAGCTTGTTTCAAAATTCATGTTTTTCTCAGATAATAAAACACCACAGTAGAGAGACTTACGTGTTGTTCACTCGTTGGGGACGTATGGGAGATGATGGCCAAACCCAAAAAATTCTATTTCCTTCTTTGAAGGAAGCAGCTCAAGAGTTTCAGAAGATCTTCCATAATAAATCGGACAACATTTGGGAGAATTTAAAAAGGTGAGCTTAGATATTTATTTCACAGTGTTTTTAGTTACTTGGTGGTGAATGAAAAATAAATTATTATTCAAGCAGAGCCTTGAAAATAGTTGAAAATGGCACTTTTTTTACCCCCACCAAATAAATTGAGAATTAAAAATTCTTTGCCATCAAAATTATGAATTTTGTGTCAGTAACGAGCAAGACCTTGAATCATCATCTTATCATAGCAAGTTTCCTTGATTTTAACACACATTAATTTAGCTTCTCATCTGTATGACCTTCTTAACCCAAGACATGTGATATGCTCTAGACAACTAGCTTTTAACAATAATAATTTGTTCATGTATTTTATCTCATTACTCACAACACCATGTTTTCAACTTAGCATTATGGCAGGAAACAGCAATAAAAACTTGAGTTTATTGCAGCTATCTATTAGTAACATATTTACGGTAGATACGTGAATAATATATAGCAGTATTATTCCATTATTCTTAGCTGTCAAGCTAATAAAGGAATGCAAAACCTCCTCTTTATCTTGTAGTCCACCTGTACCTTATGTATTTATGGTTTGCTTGAGCTTTAACATATAGACACGGCAACTTCAGTTGGGTGTCTGAATTGGGCAACTTTCAGACATTATATTTGTGCTTGTTGTTGTATAATCAATTCAATTTAAAATAACTTTAATAGAAAAGTGTTCTTTCAACAAACTATAGGCTCTCTGACATTGCATACAAACACTGGCTAGCAAAGGATGAGAGTAATAAGCACAAAGCAAAGTATGTATGAAGTCTATTGATTGATGTGGTATAGGAGAATCTGCTCTTACCAGACATCAAAAGGGTCAAAATTGTGTTCTCAGTAGACCAAAATTTCCAAAACTGGACCATTTTCATCATTCTTTAAGCCAGTTTTGTCTTTAACTGAAACTACTGCTTCTGTAGTGGTCATGATATGAGGTAAGGAGTTTAATTTGGGTAAAAATATAATAATATCAATACTCTCAAGATATGAAAGCTTTACGATTTGTATTATTTTATGAAATATAAAATGATCTAATATTAATTGTTGTAGATATCCTGTGCACTTAGAATGCTGAGTTATAGAACTATTATTTAATTTAAAACAAAGTTAGGCCTTGCTCAAGTTAACTGGTTGGACCAACTCTGAGTTAGCTTTTTGTGCTTTTATGTAATTTTGGGACTTGTACAATTTTATACAACTTGTTAGGCCTTTTCATGGTCACAGAAAGTTTCCTAAGTGCAAGTCTTTGATGTCAAACAATGAGCCATATAGTATTTATCACAAATTGGCAGTTTGAGAACTACAATTACAGTTATATTACATCAGATTGGAATGCTCTTTAGTACTTTGACACACTTAATTTCCTGTATTTATTTCTTTACCATCTGTTTTCTTATGTAACTCTTACCATTTATTTAAAGCATGCTTACATAACCTCAAAAATAGGACTTTGGCCTTGAAAAGCCTATAAAAGGCTTTGATTTTTATTGACAATAATCTGCATGAAGCCAGATGAATGTTTTAAGTGCAGATACTACATTTATAGACGTGTCCTTGAAAGTATTTGCCAGCTTTTGGAGATAGAGAAAAAAAGAGGGGATTAGTATCAAACAATTTTTCTTAGTGGAAATCTTGTATTAAACTGGAGTGTATTTAAACCAGTGGTTTCTCTTTTATGAAATCAACCTTTCAAGTCTCACCAATGATATAATTTTTGCCATATTAATTCATTACTGAGGAATTTTGGATTATAAACCAACCTGCTTTAAAATATATCATTCTAGTTTTGTGTGAATAAGTAGTCCATATAGCAATATTAAAGTAATAGTCGCATAGTAGGCAGGACTTAAAAGCTTCTAGGTATATTTAGAATAAACATTTTCAGGAACAGTGTTTTGTGTATTTGTTGGTAAGCATTAGAAATAAATATGGTGGGCTAGTTTAGGGTATCTATTTTTTTATGTATTTTTTGTAATAATCTTCCTAGTTTTAATCCACAACGAAATAAATACTGCCTTGTTGAGATGGAGAAACGTTGTCAAAATCACAAGCACAGTATCAAACCTAACCTTAAGACTGATACGCCAAGCAAGCTACCAGAACCCCTTTCCAGACTCATGGAGAGACTTGTAAGTTACTTGTTTCTAACTGATGTGATTGTGTTTAAATTAGACTATTATTTTACCCACAGTATTTTAATCTAAAGTTTTCTTGTATAGACTGGATTATACAAAAAACATGTGTGGGTTTTATAGTTATGAATTTTTTCAGCATTTTTTTGCCTTATTAGTTGAGAAATAGTAATTCATATTTTTTAGGTTAGTGTATTATTTACAGTGTAGCTCTGCATCTAAAAAAAAATATTTGATGTTTTATAACAGAGCTTGAGAATTTCAGTCCAGTGTTTATAAAATAAGCTCTAAAGTTATATAAATAGTTACTTTGTAATCATATAGTTTTCAGATAAGACTTATGTAGTCTCTTCATATTGGAGTATACAAACTTGCATGGGATTAGCTTTTAAAATTTTATAGAAAAGTTGATTCATGTTTGTAAAGTTACAAGAAAGTATAATTAGGTTGAAATTGCTTTTTTCATATATATAAGTACATGAACAATTAAAAATTGTCTGTTAGTTAATATTTCATTTATAATATCTCCATTAGTCTTCTGTACAAAAAATTAGAGTTCTGTGTTAAAGGTTTTCAATTTTCCCCTCTCTCATCAGATGGATGCTTCCCTGGTCGAGCAGTTTTCAATGAAACTTGGAACTTCTATTGCATGTTTTGGTCAGTTACCAGAAGCTTTTCAGAAGGCAGAATCTCTATTGCAAGAAATTAGGTAGATTAAACAAAGTACTATTTCTAAATCACAACTAACTGACTGAATGATATATACAGGAGGAGTTAAATGTTTGTGTTTTCTCTTCTTCTTCTTCTTTTTTTTTTTTTAAATAAAGATTCAAGAATGACATATTTTGGTTGTATGTACTGTTTTTTTTTTACAGAAAGCTAGAGTATAAAAGCTTTCTTCTTGAACTATAGAACTAAGTACCTGAATTTTTTGTCTGTGTATTTATGTTCATTTACAAATTATATGAACTATAACACTTTGTAGTATCATGTAAAGAAATAAAAAAGCAATTAGAAAATAAAAAAATAAACAGTATCAAATAATTAGATAAAAATTTTATCTTAAAGTTTCAGATATATCAGACCTCACATGTTCTCTTAATATGACAGGTTTGACCCATTGGTAATACCAGGGAATATAAGATCATTTACTGTTGCACAGAATGACCTGTGTATTCTTTCTTAGAGCATGTAAAGTTTTATGAGCTGTTCAGACAAATTTAATAGATTGTTTTTCAGTGTACAGAACTAAAAAGAAGTAATGCATGAATAATGTTTAAAATGCATTAGTTTTTCCTTTACAAAATGACTAATTCTAAAAACCCATAAGTGAAAGCAAAATTATCCACACTAAATCTACCACATGCAGTGCTTACGATAACTGTCAGTTGTGCCTTTTAATGCTTACGATAACTGTCAGTTGTGCCTTTTAATGCTTACGATAACTTAGTCAGTTGTGTCTTTCAGTGCTTATGATAAATTTGTCAGTTGTGATTTTAGTGCTTACGATAACTTAGTCAGTTGTGCTTTTAGTGCTTACGATAACTTTGTCAGTTGTGCTTTTAGTGCTTACGATAACTTTGTCAGTTGTGACTTTTGCATATGTTTAACACAGCTTGTTTGAAGTTTGATTACATCGAAAGCTAAACTTTCTGTTACTGCTTCTGTACACTAGCCTTGGAAAACATTTTTTCCGATTTTATCTAAATGCACATGAAATACTTGATTTATCTATAGTATTGATGTTTTTACTTAATGCCATTCAACATATTATTATGAATTTGATGCCAAAATTATCAGCTATTCATTTACCCTATTCTGCTGATTTAGTGACAGTTTGTGATAAAAGAGAGTAAATACCAGATACAATATACAAGGGTATTAAAAAACTGTAGGTATGCATTTCAGATGGTTTTAGAGGTATGATGGACAAAAATGTTTTTATTCTTCACATTAACATCATCTTGCACTCTGACTTATTAAGATCTGGATCAAACTAATTCACAGACCCATTTTGATTACAAATACTTTTATAACACAGCAGATCTTTTGTGTACAACAGATTTGTAAATGTTAATAAAACCTTACTACATTTGTTTCGATACAAATAATAAATTTGGTATTATAGTTGACATCCCTTCTCCAATATGGGGTTGGTCCATTTGACTGATCTTGTGCGCATCTGATTAATGAATAGAAGGAATTGTCAATTATATGAATAATGTGCAGATTTCAGAAGCACTGGTTAATTTATTGTAAAAGAGTGAGTATGTGTTACATGAGAAATAATAATTTCCAGAGCCCAGATATAACAAACAAGAGGGAATCCTTAATAGCCACAGCACTTGAAATTCTTTTGGGCAGGATTAGAGTAAATTAATCTATGAAACCTTGGGCATGGTCAAATATATCATTCGAAAGGGTTTGATCTCCTGAGTCCAAAACTGTAATTAGGTCTAAAATCAGTCAAGAGGTGACAGAGCTATGAGCTAGAAGTTTGTACTTGAAAAACTCAAAGCCATTCTATGAGCCACTGTGCTATGGCTAAGAATTGTATAATGTCCAGTATGATATTGACACTTATGGAAAACTATTAGCTAGTAGTATCAGAAACACTTATGGAAAACCTACTACTAATGCTAGTTAATGTGATTTCTAAAGTACACTACAAGTTTAGAACATTCATTAAAAGTACCAGTAAGCTGTAAAAATGCTAAACATTGCTTTTTCACTTTGTGTGTATTTAGTATTTTTTGTAATTCTGCAATACACACACACACACACATACACACATTTATTTGTTATTTATTTTGTTTCCATGCTTGTTTGAGCAGACATGTCAATGAGCAGTTGGTTACTTTAGAGTTGTTCAAGATGTAAATTCTTGTTACTTTTTTGTTTTTAATTTTCTTCCAAAACCTGAATGACAATCAGTAATGATGTCGTTTTAGGTTTGAAAGGAGTTGGTTTTGTTGGTTCATTCATACAAATCAGTGTCAAGTTCTTTGTTTTGATATTTTATTGTAAAGTCAGTAATAAAAATCCATCGAAACAAACATTTCATCATTAATTAGTACAAAATATTAATATCAAAGCACAATATTAAGTTGGAAATACATGTATTTTATTATTATTATTACAGGAAACTTATAGAGGAGAGAAAGGAATCTCAAGATATCAACAATGCTCAAAAAAATTCAGAAGAAATTCTACAAAAGGTTTGTTTGCATTAATAATTTAAATTTCCACTTTAAGATTATTTTAACTGATTTCTGGTTGAGTCTTGTATCTTAAAATTGGTTGAAAAGCTGTGTAATATAAAAAGTATACTATTAAAGAAAAAAGTGAAATTTTTGGTTATTAATGTAAAATTTTTTCAATTCACTTCATTACTGAAAAAGTAATATGTAAAAAGTAAACATTATCCAACTGTTAATGTGTTTATATTCTTCATTTCTGAATGTATTACTCAAATAAATTTTAATGAAAAAAATTTTGTTTTTAAGACTTGCATTACTCAACAAACATTATTTAGAATTAGCATTATATGGCTGTTAATATATTTGTTTCTCTTAATTTTCAAGTCCAATAAGTTGTTGGACATTTTTCACCTACAAGTAAAGTACCAGCCAAACAGTTTTAAAATGTAATCAGCAATAATCCAGCCTCTTAATCATTTTCTTTAAAGAACCTTTTATAAACATAAAAACAAATCATAGCTGGGTAGAAGGATTTAAGAACTGTGAATAACAGCAACAATAATTAATGAAATGAAACTTTGTAGCATTGTTATTAAGATTAGCTGATTCTGGTCATTAGCAAAAAAATTTTGTGTCAATTTAAATTATAAATGATCAGAAAAAACTACTACTACAAACGAAAGCTCCAGAAACTAAGATTTTATTTTTTAAATAACATTCATAAATAAGGCTTAAGAAAAAAATATATAATTTTTTATACTTCTATTGGATCATAACATGGCACATTCAACAGCATCAAATTGAATTGTGTATATACCATAAAATTTGGGCAGCAAGTGTGGCACCAACTAGACTTTGTAAAACAAAAGTTTACAATGATGAACAAGTCTTGATTCCAGATTTTATTATCTCATAATTTATCAGTCTAAACAAAATCTATGTTATTAGAAAGCTGCAAAATATTGGTGCCATCTCTCATTCAGTTGATAACATGTAAGCAAAGAGTTAATATAGTGAAATCCCAAATTAATTATTTTTATAGGGAATTTTCTTTAAAATATTAAAATTAAACACTGAACATATTATGAGAATTACCTAGGTCATGCTGTTAATTTTCATTATCTCTTGTTCAAATTTACAAATAAGATATTCTCAAATTTTAACTGTGTCATATTTTATTTAAATTTCTGTTTTTTTTTTCTTCTAATGATTTCATTATTCAGTAATCTAGAGAAGTTAATGTTTTTTTTATTTGAATGGTATCATAAGTTTGTTACCCCCAAACTGTGATATTAAATGTTGTAGTTTCTTACTTCTAGTCTGTGATTTCTGATCTTATAGTTTTTAATTTCTAGTCTGTGATTTATAATCTTATACTTTCTTAATTTCTAGTCTGATTTCTAATCTTATGGTTTTTAATTTCTAGTCTGTGATTTCTAATCTTATGATTTTTTCATTTCTAGTCTGTGATTTCTAACTTTATAGTTTTTTCATTTCTAGTCTGTGATTTCTAACTTTATAGTTTTTTCATTTCTAGTCTGTGATTTATTGTATTAAGGATTTCTTACCCTCCAGTCTGTGATTTATTGTCTTAACGATTTCTTACCTTCCAGTCTGTGATTTCTTGACAGAACTTTTTTTCAGTATATTGTGGATTATTTTGATTAAAAAAAATTATGTATGACTATGCAGGAACATTATTTTGTATAATAATTATAAGATTATTCCAAAAAAGCAAAACAAGTCTTAATTTGAATAGCTATTTGTGACATTCAATACATTATCTTATAGCATATTTTTATGTTACGTTTGTATTATTTCAAATGATGTATAAAGTTTGTTTTTCAGTAGGGTTTGCTTTGAAATATGTTTTGTACGTGCAGTAAATCCAGTGGATTTCATAAAATCACTAAAGTTATATTGAAAATTCTAAATGATACTATTAACTTTTCATTTCTGTCTTCAGATAGTGAAACTCACTGAGGAGTACTACTTCACAATACCTATCCATGGGTTTGAGTATGAAAGACTTTGTCCTCTGTATGACACAACATTATTAAGAGATCAGATAGAAATTGTATACAATCTTAGGCACACAGAACTAACAGCAGAGCTGATGCTAGCTGCCCAGATGAGGAAGGAGGGTATGTCTTGTGTATTTATTTCTGTCTGTTTATTAAAACCAGATTTTTAAAGGTTGGACAGAATTGATAAATACTTTTTTTACCAGAGTCGTTGGCATTCCAAGCAATCAAAAGAACTGTTGGCTGAATGGCTAACTGAGGAAAGAAGTTACAAGTTCTGTTTTGGTGAACTATTTGAAACTTAGTGACTTTGTAGTTTTATAAGTTTTATGTATTTGTTATAAAACAAAGAAAAAGACATACTGTGTTGCTAATCATGACAACTGATGTATAAGATCATTAGTGTATCAGTGATATGAAGTTCAGCATATTATTGTGTAATAGAAGTCCAAGATAATACAGGTGATATATATGTTGTCTAGAATGATATGTATAATGTTTATTTATGTAAGTATATTCTTTATAAATAACAAAACATTTATGTTAACTTCAACATCAAATAGAAAGTGTAATACAGCACCATTCTTCAAAAATTTGATGATTTTTTATCTTAATTCTAATTAATGTAACTTATGGCTCAAACTGTAGCTGAATACACGTTAGAAAGAAAACTAAGTCTAGGACACAGTTTACAGTATGGTACCTGGTGGGTTGTGTGTAGAAAATAGGAATGGATCACAAACTACACACTGGGAACTATTTAGTACATCCAAGTGGGTCATGTAGAAAAGATGAACAGGGCACAGACTCCTTTGTTACGGCCTGGCATGGCCAGGTGGTCAGGGAGCTCGACTCGCAGTCTGCGGGCTAGAATCCACGTCCCACCAAACATGGTCACCCTTTCGGCTGTTGAGGTGCTATAACATGATGGTGGTGATGAGTAGCTGCCTTCCCTCTAGTCTATCACTGCTAAATTAGGGACAGCTAGTGCAGATAGCCCTTGTGTAGCTTTGTGAGAAATTCATAACAAACCATTCTTTGTTACCCATGTAGTTTTCATCTGTTTCTCTAACAGAAATCAATCCCAAAGATTATATCTATCAGTGCCTAAACAGTCAGCTACAGCTAATGGAAGAAGAGTGTGTAGAAGCCCAGCTCATTCTTCAGTATATCCATAATACAGGTAGAGTAGGAAAAACTTCCCATTTTTGTTTGGTAATGTTAATTAGTTTCATGACACTGTAGAGTTTACTGTGAAGTGATAAAATTATCTTTCTTGCTTGTGTCTTGGAAAAAGTTTATTAAAATGTTAATCAGCTTGTTTATTTTTTAGTAATAGAAAAGAATGTGACCAGTTCATTGAATTTAATATTATATTTGTCCTTACTTTTTTTTTATCATAAGTCACTATAGGTATAATTTGTATTGAAATTGAAAATGGTAGGGGATCTCTTGTGAAATTATATGTAATATTAAAGAACGATTATTGTGTAATCAACAGGATAATCTCCATAATATTGTTTTATTCTTAAAAAAACAATATTAAAGGAAAACTATAAATAAAAAATACCATATAAAATCAGCCCTCGGGGAATAAGTTTAATATTCTTTAACTGTCAGATTACTAGTTTATTTTAATGCTTTTCATTACCAATGGAGTCCACGTATTACATTATATTGAGTAATTTTACATTTACTTGCTTATAACGCTCATTGTAGAGAACTGACAAAAAACAAAGTTAGTTAAGTCTGTGCCATGTCTTGTAACGCACAAAGGATCTGTGTTTTTTATCTCTGGCTTCAACTGGCATAAGCAGATGGTAATGTTGACACATTCCCCCTAGACAGGATGCCAGTCTATTGCTAGGTAATCCCTAGATAATAGCTGGTATCCATGACACAGCTGGGTAGACTGGAACAGTTTGGTAAAGTGTGTTGCTGAGGAGCACAACAGTATAATATGGATCAGCCTCGAGCTCGTAACCATTCGACCACGAGTTCAGAGAGTGAAACCACTAATCTACGTTACCCCAAAACTTGGATGAAATTATACTTTCTGTATATAGGAAACCCCAGCAATAATTAGCCAGAATTAATTGGAATATTGCTAATATTTTTGCTTATATTTCTTGTGTGACCTGCTTGTCATTAAGGACCCTATATTTAACTGAGTTGTGGACCCACAAGCAGTTTGTTGAATAAATAGTTTAAAAAACTGATTGGGTTTTCTCTCATTAATTCTAGGGTTAAATTATTTCCCACCATTTACTTTGTTGTATTAAAAGAAGTAATTATTATGGGAGTCTGGTTTTCTGTTTGAAGTTTTACTATGACCCCCATACCCATAAAAAAATAAACGCAAAGAGTGTTAAAAAATTTTAATTGCCTGAATTTTGGTAAATAACTGGCTTCCTATCTAAACATAACACACACAAACTATACCATGTTGTGTTATACATAAGATATAGTGAAAGGAAAGTTTGTACTAAAAAAAAAAGTTGAATTCTCATTTTCAGTTATATGAATGAAAACTAAAAATTGTTATAAGAACTAAACCTGAGTATAGGGTGTGTTAAATTTTTTATTCTGTCTTGGTTTAATATAATAGAAACAAAGTGGGTAAGCAGCTTTAACTTTAAATATAGGAAACATTGATAAGAGAAAAAGAGTGGATGTTCAAGCTATCTACCGAGTCCAGCAAAAAGTTAGTTCAGAATTTCTCAAGAAAAGCTCCAAAAAACATGTACTTTTATGGCATGGGACTTCAAAAGAAAACATCCTCAGCATTCTTACTCAAGGACTGATGATCCCCCCTCTTGGGATGAGATTAACAAAGCATGCATTTGGAAAGGTAAAACTGCAGTTATTTGCAATTTTAGAACCATACAAAATAGTGAATTCTCGGTAATCCATAATTCAGATGAATTATTACAATTTTTCGGGCAAGATCTGAACTATCTACCATCCCTTAAAAAGTGTCAGTGTTATAATTTCACATCAGAAATAGAAAACAACAATCTTTCCATTGTTAGTTATGTTTAATTTAATTTTGTTTTGAAGTAATGCTCTCATTTTTGCACATTCTATTATATTTCAAAAGTTAAAATGTTTGTATTTCTAGAAAATTAATAAAATGATACTCTACTTAAGCATAATAACATATAATGAAATCACTTTTTACCTGTGAACTTTGATTTATAAAATGGTGAAATGATTTTCAGAGTTTTCAATTGGGTAATTCTGATATTTTCAAAGTATAAATTATTATTATTATCATAAAATGGAAATAGGAAAAAAAAATCTTTGGAATGTGAGTGTATTAAACACAAATTTGAATTATGAAACTATGTATATATTACAAAACCTATTTTTTAACCTGATAATTTGTAACTATTCATCTTTAATAGACCAAATAAGCTTGTCATCAGTCAGGCCAATCTTAGAGGTAGAATTTGTTTTTGTAACATAACAAATGAAAGTATGCCACATGTACATTATTATGGTTGTTCACATGTTTGTGTTTTATGTAGTAAATAGCTTGTTAGAAACAAGTTAGTAATTCAACAAGTAAAAGAGTACATAACTGCAACATATCAAAATGTAAAAATTTACACTGATCTATTGAAATGAAACATGTTTTTTGTTATGTAATTTCCAGTAAAGGTATTAGAATTCTACTTTTTCTTTCCAGGGAATCCTTTTTGCTGATATGTTTCAGGAAGGTCAGGAACATTGCTCTGCAGGAGATGATAAAGAAAGCACCAAGTTTATGTTTCTCTGTGAGGTATTGTCCACATGACTCCTAATTTTCTTTTTTGTCTGCGACAGTGAAGTTATAAAACCAAATTTGTTCTGGGAAATAAGTTTAAAGTAAATATGGGAGTTGAATAAATTCTTCAGAATCCATAATTAGGTCCAATTTTTGTATTATTCAACATCATTTATACAAAATTAAGGAACTTTTTTTGCTTAATGTTATGAAAACATATGTAAAGTTTTTATAAAAAGAATGCTAGTGATGACAAGATGGAAAGTTTACTGACCCACACTACACACTCATTTATTGATTCTTGTCAACATAAAGAAAACAGCAAATGCATGAAGAATGTGTTACTTATTTTGAATTAAATGTAGTTTTATGTTGTATTGTTGTAGGCTATATTTCTTTATAAAATATAGATGTTTTTGGCGAGGGGAGTTTTTAACATCACATAATGAACACAGTTAATGATTGGAATTTCTTTTAAAGTTCAGAAAATGATTTGAATGATATAAAATGCATGTTAAGTAAGACTATATTAAATTGTTGCTTGATTAATGAGTCAGTCAGATAGTTCAACACTGTGAATTTTTAACTTGTGTTTTCAACAAAATAACAGATATGAGGAGTAACATAAGTACAAGAAAATTAGCAAGGAACTGGAATTTCTATGTTAGCTGTGATGTTAGAATTATTGTTAGTTACATAGAACATGTAGTTCAACAAATATAGCTTTCGTTATCAAGTTAATTGGATGTTGAATTGTTACTTTTACCAATTAAACCAAAATAACCTGCTCTAAAGTAGAAACTGTTATAATATTGGAGTCAGAAGTTGGGTTATTTTGATAACAATAAAAAACAATAAGACCCACCTTCTGTGTGGCAAATGAATAAAAAATTAGTTTTACTAGATATGATCAAACAGAGAAAAGTGGAATTACCAAAATGAGACATAAGATTTACAAACAAAAATCAGTTTCATTGAATACAAAACTTGAGTGCAATAGGAAATGCACAGAGGGATTATAACAACAAAATTAAAGAAATTCAAAAAGGCATCTAGGAACTGAATTTGCAATTACAAGGATCAAACCAGCCCCGTGCCTTTTTATATCTGGTCAAAAGTTCCAACTTAAACACCATTAGCTATGAAATAAGAAAGAGGAGAACCCATCTGACACATACCTGTCACTACTACCGTTGTGCCACCCACAATTGCAGGATCTTCCTAGATTATTTCAGCTACATCAGTATCTCATCAAGATACAGAATCTAGCAGGCTATCACATAGTTCTGTTGAGAAGCCAACAGATTATGATGGAAAGGTATTACTATGGGAAGTATGTCACAGTTTGAAATAATTTCCATTTCAAAGGACCAGTACCATTAAGCAATCTACAAGACTTTAGGACAGCTTTATCATACAGGTTTGAAATCCCACATAAGAAGGAACTTTTTAAAGCAAAATTTAGGAGCAGATTAAAGAGGAAGGACTAAACATTAGATGAATTTGCTAAGATCTCTAAAGACTTGCCCAACTATCTTTCAAATGCACCCCACATGAAATTGAAGGATTCATTGGCATGCAGCTAATGCATAGATGCCAAAGATATGCAGGTTAGGCTGAAGCAAAAGAAGTTGTCCATTTGGTAGTGTAACTTGAACCATTCAAAGTTGCAGATAAACAACTGAGAGCAAGATCCAGGAATTACGCTATCATCAGATCAAATAATGTGAAAATATCCACTTCCTTTGATAAAGTCCAGAAGAATTTAAAAGATAAGTTTGACAACTGGTTACTCAAGGACAGAAGATGTTACACATTGCCGCTTAAAAGAGCACAGTTAAGAAAACAGAAACTGCTCCCAAAGGATTACAGGAAAAGGAACCTGCTGTAAGTTCAGAAGATGTGGAATCAACCTATTGATAATAAACCCAGGATATGATATGCCAAAGAGGAAAATACTTCATCTAAAACAAGATGTGTAATACTGAAAGAAACCATACCATGAGTCAAGGGATTCATTGACAAAAAGTCTTGAAATATGTTGATTGACACTAGTTCTGCAGTTATCAGTATATGATATGATTTGATAATGAAAACTAAGAAAGTACTTCCAGAGGTTAAGCAAGGTGGATTGATGCAAACAGCAAGTGGAAAGTTGGAAATCAGTCACTCTCACAGTGAGAAATTTTTCTGCGTAATGTAATGCATGGATAATTGACAGTGAGGAAGAATGTGTATTCAGGTTTATGCAGAAACACAGATGTGAGGTTAGACTCACTTCATATAGTTTCACAGTCTCTGACCAAGTAATCCTTGTGCAATAAACAAAAGTTATAGCACTAAAGGTTGGACTTCCAATGACAAGGATGAAAGCACAAGGTAATGAAGGTAACCAGTAATAGAGAAGAATCCAGAAACAGATGATCCAAACCAAAGTACATCCATTGTGATTGTCTTTGGGAGCACATTAGTGGGATAACAGCTTAATAGCTAGTTTCAAAGAAGAATTTACCAAAGATAATATAACCTTCTGAAGCATCTGAGTTTCCTTTCAAGAACACTTTTCAGAGTATCATCAATGGAGAGCAAGTGTTGATATAGGACCATAATGCACAGAAAGGAAAACAAACAAATAAATTTGGTGACTAGGCAGTTTAGTGATAGTAACTGAGTGATGAAAGATTTTTTTGTTAATCAAAATTCTGATAGTGATTTGTGCTACACAGTTAATGATTTCACTATATGGGATCAGGGTGCATTTATTTGATGTACTTGTTGTAGTATGGTGCATTATAAAAAACTGGTGGATGAAACTATTTGAAGCTGGAGATGAACTTTTTACAGGTTATGTAGCTTAGAAAAGTAAAAAAAGATTCATTGTTTGTCGAGAAAATTTTAAAAATATTAAAAATGCTTACCTGTAAAATTTCCAATAAATTTTTATTCTCTAAAACTAAATTTTATCTTTCACTTTTAATGATCATTGGCATACAATGAAAATGTTTGTACCATAGCAAAACTAAAGTGAGCCAACTTTTCTTTCAGTTGTTAATTGGAAGGTTTTGTTTAATACCTTTTTAAAAATTTTAAACCCATTATATATTAATTTATATATACTCTCATTTCTTAAACCTCTTCAGTGATTTCCTTTACCCATTCAAGTTGTTACTTAGACTAGTAAGGCCTAATATAAACAAGGCTTGGTTTGGTCAATAAAATGGAACCTGATGTGGTTGAGTGCAAAATGATTTAACTAAGTCTACCTCATTTTGTTCTGTGAAAAACATTTCTTATCATGTTGCAACATCATAATTTAAATGAAGCTCTAAAAAACAAAACAGATCAGGACTTTACAAATATGGTGGAATTTGAACACATACATCTTTTCTTCTAGCAACATATCACCAAGCTAAGATTTTATCACTTTATTTTTGATCTCTGCTGAACCAGAAAACCAGATTGGCTGATACAGTTGAAAATAAGAGGAAAAGAGCTTTTATTAAATTGTTAGATCACTAGCTTATGATTTCTCAAAGCTGAGATTAGGTAATTTGCATATTACCATGACTACTTGAGATACCAAAGTAGTTAAAGTCAGTAAGCTATATTTGTATTGAAGTTACAGAGTTCAAAGTGGCATTTTGTTCTAAACTATTCCAACTTTCCTTCTAGTAAGTTATGAGCTCCATATTGTGATCAGAAAAAAAATCACGAAGTTCAGATTGTGCTAAAATCACCCAAAAAATCAAAATTTGCAATGTTTAAATCTTTTATGAAAAGTTGAACAAAACAATATGTGGAAGAACAGCTACAACTTTATTTTTTATAAATTTTTTAATTCAGTGCTGCAACTTTGCCCTTGCACAATGGGTGTACCCAACTGGGCATCGAAGGATTAATTCCTTAGGCACTTTTTTTCCCCCCCAGCCATATCATGCTCAAAATTGTCAGATAATTCAGTTTCAGAGCCAAAATCACCATCAGCTTGCACAAGTTCAATTGTCTTCAAGTGTGAAAACACTGGAGTGATTTGATGCCATTTTCTCATAAAAATTAATTTTCAACTGCAAATATTAACAATGTTTTGAATAGCAACATATGCTATGTTGGATATAAATTGGCAACCGAGATTATCATCTATGCAGATTAGGCTCTGTCTATTCATTTTGTACACTTGATTCACATTTCTAGCAGGATATTCAAATTGTATTATGTGGTCACCATATGGAAACAGGCACGCCTAAAGGGTTAATGATTGTAATGTATATATTTATGAATATTAATATTGCTAACTGTGAAGTTACTTTAATTTTGGAAGTTCAATGCACCATTCTTCATTGTATAAAAAGGGTTATACATGGGGCTTCAAAATTCAGAAATGGGCACTGTTATAGGCTCTTATGTTTTATTTCAAACAGTTATTTTTGGATAGAGGGAGTTTTTAAAACCATGTGGTGAATGTGTAGTATACCGACTACAATTAAATCTCTTTATAGTTTATGTAGTTGATTGAGTCAGTCATTTAGTAGTTAAATGCTGAACATTTTTAAGTTTGTGTTTTCAAAGAAGTATTAAAGATATCAGAAGTAATGCACATGAATAAAATTAATAAGTGGGATTTCTGTTGAGATATTATCTGTGAAGTTAGGCCTATTATTAGTTATGTGTAGCCTTGTACAAGTTATAGTACTTATAGTCAAACAAATAGGATGCTTACATTAAGTGAACTGGGCTTGTATTCTTCTTTTTATGAAATAATCCAAACGAACCTGCTCAATGATAGAAACCATTACAACAGACATAATGTTATTAATAATCAGATTTGTCTTCTGTTGTTCTTTTACTTAAGAAAATGAAGCCAGTCCATATTTTTGATATATTTGGTACTTATATACAATAAGCATCCATATTATTTTGAAATAAATACAGAACACCATATGGTAACAAAACATTCATACTGATCTATTGCTTACAAATCAACAGTGTTCTTAATTTTTGATAACCTTATGTTGCTGATCGTGAGACATTGTTGAAATAGACAAATATCAGACTGATTTTTATAGCTACCTTACTTTACATTGTGTTTAATAATATATACAAATTCTACTCATCCCTATTCATTTTGTGGCCTTATGAAAATTCATCAGATACAAAGTTTGTTCAGTCCGGTCTTATCAACCTGTTCTTGCATGATAGTGTACCACATGATGAAGGATTTTTCAGTGCACTGTCAGTTATAATAATCAAATATAAAGAGGTTAATATTTGTGATTCTTATGTTCTGATTCTCTTCTATCTACAGGTTGCACTAGGGAAGATTTGTCAGCTGGACATGTCCTCAAACCCCCATCCTGATCAAAGCTACAACACTCATCTAGCACTAGGAACTTGGCACCCTAACCCTGCTCAGTCTATCTCTTGGCAAGGTAAGAGGTGGAATTGATATGGAATACTTTAAATTAATTTGAAGTGGCATAAGTGAATTAAACTATTGTGTCATTGTCAATAAATTACAAGATGCTTTTTGATAAGTTTACATTAAGTGCTTTATACCACAGAAAATTAGTCATGTCCAACTTAATGTGTATTTATTATCAAATGGGTAAATTGATATTATAAATTTATAAAATATATGCATTCTAGGTGAAGGATTAAGAATAAGATCCAAGTTTCATTGTTATGTTTTATATGCAAATATAAAAGTACTCATTGTTGACTTATTTAAACAAGAAAATGAAAACTTATTCATGAATCTAACCATTTTTATAGTGAAGATATTAAGAATTTTCAATGGCTACTTTAACTTCCTATACCATAAGGGTGTATAATCTTTTTAATACCTTCTAGGTCGAGAGATACCACTGGGTCCAAGTCAAGCAGATGTTGATTTACACCATCAGATCGTCTATCGATCTCTGAACTTCAATGAATATTTGGTATGTGAGCCTTCACAAGTGTGTATTCGTTATCTTGTGCAGTTCCAAGAGAAACTGGTGGGCACATTGAAGACAGCCTAAACATTAGTGTTTGTACATTGGTGACGAACTCTGGTGTCACTCCTGGTAATGATGTTTTGTTAAAGCCGTTCATGGTGTGATTCAGTGTGTTGTGAATAACTGTATTACAGGCAGAATAGAAAATGACAAGGTGAACAATTAACTTGTCACTTATTTCACCAGAAATTATCCATGATGGAGTACACGGGGCAGCTTTTGAAAAGCTCCATTTTTCTACCCAGATCAATTGAAAACCAAGGTCTACTGGTCTGGATCTTTTCTCATCAAGATCAGAATATAGTTGTCATTTGATTGTATAATATCTCTCACACATTATATTGGCCAATTTTCTGTTCTGTTGTTGTCCTATCTAAGTATTTTGTTTTTTCTGCTTAGAAAACATGACCACTGCTACTGCACCAGTTGATATTTTAACCCTGTCTGTTCCAGCATATACAACTGTATGTCAATGCTTTCCTGTAGTTGATTGAATTACTTTACATGATTTTACATCATTAATTTGAAAAAGGTCGTTGCAATATTTTAATACAGTGAAGAGAACTTTTTTTTCACAAAAATATGTCAAAAGACATTTTTAAGGCCACATTTTACAATTAATAATTTTCTGCACCTTTAATTTATTTAAAATATTGTGTAATGAATACAAAATTCATTATTTTTCAGTCAATAAACAGAGTAGAATGAAGCAGCAAGATTTGTTTTCTTACTTTTTAATACTGTGACTAATTTCTACTTAAGGTTTATGTGTAAACAAATTGGAATTTGTGTCTTGTGCACACCTGGAACAGAGAGGGTTGTATGGTAGGTTTAAACATTGTTTTTAAATAATGCTATACTGAAATTTTTACACAGAATACAGGTATTTTAAAATATATATATAGAGAAATTAAGTAAATGTGTTAATCAAGATTAGAGTGCAGATGTTTACCAGAAGTAAGGTTTAATGATACTCTCCTATTTCCACAAAATTTGTAAGAATGTCTGTTCTGTGTTAAAATTTCAGATTTTTTTTTTCATTACTTTATTGTCTGTGTATTTCAGTGTTAACATTATGAGAATGATCAATATTTTATTACAGTATTTGTACAATCTTTTAATCATCTTTCAGTGTTGTATTCCATAGGAAATATCTTGGCATGTGAGTCCCTTCTGCTGAAGACTTTTGTATTGGAAGTGACAGCAAAATAAATGCATACAAAAGCAAGACACATTTCGTTAATTTGGTCCTTTCCATATTTATTTATGAACGCTATAAGTAACGTTCAACCACAATTTAAAAGAAAAAGCACAGTTCTCTCTTCAGTAGACTGTCTTCTTATGTTAGGAACCACCAAGGATAGGTAAAGCACCCTGAAGACAAAACCTTCTGAGCAGGATAGAGAAAACATGGTTAATAAAAACTGAATTCTCCAGTCATCAGTTATATGCACAATATATTACTAAGTTTCTACATTACTCCCAAAGACTGGCTGTTACTAATACTTTCATGTCTTCTCATTTAAAATTCCTAATAAAGCAGATGTTGACTTGAGTAACACTTCAGCCCAGTGAGTAGTTTGATTTGCAACTTGTGATTGGTTGTCACCCATCGGGGTTTCTTTTGGAATGCTAGTAGAAGCCTCACTCTCTGTAGATTCATCTCCTCCACCTTGATCCGTAGCTGATGCTTCTTCGCTAGATATTCGTACCTTTTTACAAGGGGGTTCTTCTATATAAAAACAAATATTTATAAGCTTATAATTATTTTTGTAAACCATAAAAGCACATAAATCATTAAATTAATGTTTTATCTTATAGCAACAGCTTACAACCACTGGGACCTTTAGCCTACTTGCTTTCTGTAACTAGTACTAAAAGAAATTCTAATTATGATAACAGAAAAGCTTCATTTTTTAATCTGCAATTTATTTAAAAAAATTACTTTTCAGACCAGAGTGTAAACTAATATAGTAATCTTTTCTATAAAATGAAGAAAAGCTTACCTGTTTCTTTTGTGCTATCCTCTGTGATGTTGACATTTTCAGTTGTGTGATCTGTAGACTTCAAGAGATCTTGACATTGATCTTTTAAGTTTGAAATGGCTTCTTTAAGTTTGTTTAAACCATCTCTTGGTTTCTCCAAAGAGAGCAGCAGGAGCAAAGCTCTTAAGTCCTACAAATTAAATGTACATTTACAATATTAACACAAAGTTTTAACACACTAGTTCATAATTTTATGTATATATATATAGTTTTGTCTTTTTTTCTCCTAAAATGAACTGGTAGCACTGAATATTTCAGATTTATTCTTTTGTTTGCTTACTGCTACTTTTAAACATTTTGTTCCAAAATCCATAGTGGAAGAAAGTGCAAATTGAAATAACATTAAGCCTATCAGTTTGTCAGCTTTTGGCATTCAAATGTTAATTTTCAAAAAAGTTATTTTACTCTAGTCAACTACTTACCCCATTCAATTTTAAAGCTTGTTTTGCTAAACTGGGGGACTTTAAACTGTCTATCACAGATGAGATCAGAGAGGATGTAAGTGACATCGTCTGCTCATTGATTAATTGATTTGCCACCTGGTGAGAAAATTAGTACATTATTTTTTTAACATAAATCAAGAGTTTGCATGGTGATAATTAGACTAATTTCATAAATGTTTCATTTGCCAATAACCAGTATGAACATTTCAATATAATGGAAAAAGAAGTGGATAGATAGAAAAGCAAGGCTTACCTTAGGCATAAAAAGGGAAAATACTTGATATACAAAGAGGTTGTTTAGACACATTCTTTCATCCACTAACACCGTCTCCAAGTAGTCAATGAAGAAGTTGCTATTACAAAGTAGCTTCAAGAACTCCTTTCCCAGCTGTTGCTGTACAATGACAATAAGAAAAAGGAATGTAACTCATCTCAGTGGACAGCTTGTAAAATAAATAGGTCATTTTCTTAACAGTACCAGTTTCACACAGCTTATTGAAAAGTAAGGTAACAGACTTTTGGCCAGTTATTAAAGGCTGAATTTATGTTTCAAGTATTCCTGTGAAGACAATTTTCTCAAAAATGTTACACAAACAATGAATTCCATGAAATTAATTATGGCACAAAGTACTGTCACATTTCTTAAGAAAATAAATGACTTACCTCTAATTGATAAATGTCAAGCCATAGTTTTGGAAAGATAGCAAGATGAAGAGATGTTCCTTCAATAGCTAACAAAGAACCTATAATAATAACCAAACATTGAACTACGTTTACTGTATTCTAGAAAATGTTTTAACAAAAGTTAATTTTTGACAATGATTGTCTACATCTTCACTGAATTCTGATTGAACAATCTGTATCGCCTTTAAGAGTCCAAAGGCTGGATAACTGGCCAATGGAGTGCATGCACAAAGCAAACTTGGTGTAAAGACATTTATGTAGCAGGTTTAAAGTCAGTATTAGCAGACAATCTGACCATTATGTAAATTCCATTCAGTCATTGTTAAGACTATTGTTAACTACTATTATCATCATCCAGGTATGTTGGTTCTAGTTTTTAATGGATCCTTATTGTAGTGGTACATGGGGCAATAAATTTATTCCTAAATGGCTCCATTTATCACTTTTGTATTGTAAAGCTATAAATTTAAATGTAATGAACTAGATTAGATAACCGTATATATTGTGTACTTTTGTTTGCTGCTGTTTGCAAATCAGGTGAAAGCAGAAAAAATACGTCTTTTCAATTGAACTAGTGCTTCAAAATTTCCATACACCCTCCAGCTCTTTATGGAGAACAAAACCTATCCCAAATTCCTGCATTTTTTCCTGTTAAATTACCAGTTAGTAATGTTTAAAAGTTTTAATCTCAACAGAAAACTGAATATACAATTATTTCAACTCAGCTATTACATGGAATTTTAAATTTAAATTTACAGTTAATCTTAGTACAGATTACATACTCAGGTTGACCAGGTCCAAGTCAATGGCATCATGTGTGATGGCAATACGACACAACATATCTACAAACTGATGGTATGGGAGAAAAAACTCGAGGACAGCTTGATCATAGGCTTCATCAACACCCTAGAAATCAGAGGTCAGAAACCCATAAGTGACAAATTCCTTAAGTAAAAACAAACAAGAAACTCGTACATGTAAAGTTTTATCATTTACCAGTACTTTTCATTTTAAAAAGTGTATTATGTCTAGTTACACCAGGTTTTGTTTTAACTATCACAACTTTATTTGCAGTTATGTAATACTTGATTTAACTTGTCTTTATGGCAACAACTGTCCTACATTAACATGTAATATACACCTGGAAAAAAGTTAAGCACCCCCAAATATTTTTCAGGATTGCTTATTGAAAATAAGGTTTAATTTTCATGATGTTGAGCAATGT